CTCAAATGTGCGTCAGCACCCACCCAGCAGACCCAAAGCCTGACCAAGATGCCATTATGTGTAGCTAGGGGACTTCTCTACCCTGTAGGCTGGCAAACTGGGATTTCTAAGTATCTTTATTCTATCAAGCTTTCTTCTGCTTCCTCAGTGGGAAGCCTGGGAACCCTCCCAATTTCTAAGGTTCCTCCTAATTTCTTCTGGACACTCAGATATACACACTTTATTTTTTTTTCTTAGAGGCGGGGGCGATAGAAGGGGGAGCATGGAAACGAATGTCAACATAAGCAGAACTGTGGAAAAGGGGTTTTATATGTTTATAAAGGGCCTGTCACTGTGCTGTCACAATACCCTTAACATTGATATAGCTGCTCTTTTAAATTGTAATTCTTATTTGATTGCTTTGTTCAGGAGTTATGTGGATTTGAAGTCAAGTAAATATTTAGATGGAAGTAATGAAAATCTTCTATATTTCTTGTATTTTTCACTAAAAAGGAGTTCACTTAGTTTTTAATGTGTTCTTTCATTCTTTAAGATCAGAACGGCAATTAAACAACTAAAGCAATTCTTGGTATTCTATTGAGCTGGAACAGTGAATCCTACAGCTACTGTAAATGATGATACTGCATTTGCTGCTGCTTAAGGTAATCTGACTGGTCAGCTCTCTGGCTCATTATCCTAATACGAACTCCAGTAAGGAAGTCTATTTCTATGGTTCAATAAACAGAGGCAATTGGAAAGATTCTTCAAAGAGAATCAGTGATTGCCAAGTCCTGTTGAAGTTAAGTGACTTCATCAAGTACTGACCACCTGTTAAAAGAAGCACAACTCAGATGAAGACTGTAAGGAAAGAGTGAGCATTACTGATGTAGAGAGGCACAAATCTGCAAAAATAAATACAATGAAAACAAATTTTTAGTTGCTTATATATTCTACAGAATTACTTTTATTTTTTTTTTCCCCAGGGAGGTTTTATTTGTATTTTTAATACATTTGGAGCCAAACTGTAGTCACAGGTGTAGCTAAGTCTACTGTTGGTTAGCTTTTATGACAGGAGACTCCTTAGCAGCATTAATAGACTACACAGATTTTATGAGTTACAGATAAATGAATTGCTCTAAATGTTGTAACTTTTTTTGCTTCTGCAGTCTTACAGCAGAGCTGAATTTGTCGAGCGGAACCTATGCTGGATGGCACTTTTGATCTCTACTTCATAGAACAGATTAATTCAGGTGCAGAAGGACTGGACATCTGAGGCTGTCTAGTCCAACCTCCTGCTCAAAGCAGGGCTAACTTTGAGGTATATCAGGCTTCCCATGTGTAATCTGAGTTTTTACGGGGGGCCTTGGAGTTGTTCACACCAGTTTGTTAGTGTCAAACATAACCAGGTCATCTGCAAGTTGAGAGGTGTAGAAATACTGGGACAGACAGTCTAGTTGCATTACATGCATGCTTACTTGCTTAGTGCAAAGGTGGGAAATCATCACCGTTGCTCAACCTGCTGGCAATCTGTTAGCGCAGTTGGTTTCTCTCACTACTATGCTAGACCCTTAGACAAGATGCAGCTTTCAGTACTGGGTGGTTACAATGAGAACATATACTAAAGTGCATACGTTCACTCAAAGATGTGTCAGCATAATATGTTATGATACAATTGCTCATGTCAGCATTCAAATCGGAGAAGGAGGGCTTGCATTTCAGCTGAAAATGTGAAACGATTTCCACCTATAACTTTCAGCAGAGACGTGGAGCAGGATGTGGGCTTGCAGGAGGAGATCTGTTCTCTACAGAGAAAAATCATTAGGCATGGCAACTTGTAATTTCCACTGTTGTATTTAAGACAATCATATAGTAAACTGTACTTAAAGCATTGTTTCCCTAATTGTAAGTGAATGTGTCTCTTAATTATAAAGTGTTCAAGTGCATGTCTGCACACTTGAAACAGAAGATGATGTGAAAGCCACTACAAATGGAAATTATTGGATAAAGCCAAAGCCTGCGCTGTTAGATTACAATTATGGAGACAAATTTGTGAGGCAATGTTTTATTGACAGTCAGAAAAAAGAACAGGGACTCAGAAAGATGGGATAGACTGTAACCTCAGACCTAAACATGAGTATTTATGGGGCTGGAACAAGCAAATTAGTTATTATGACTCAGTTTTCCCTATCTACAAAGCAGACCTAAAATTAGATACCTGCTTTAGGGAAGAGTAAGAGCATTAAAGGAGTAAAGTTTCATGAGGGACTTTGAAAAGGCTATAGAAATAATAAAAACAGTCTGTGCCGAAATTAACAAACATTTTTAAATTGAGGAAGAATGGGGAAAAAACCACAAAAAAAGTCTGAGTATTTCCGATCGGTATTTCCTTTCAGTTTCTCTTCAGTTGTTTGTGCCACGATTTGCTGTCAGTATCCAGGAAGTAGAAAAGATTGTAAAACCCTGAAGTTCATTACATAGCTTATGAACATTTTTCCTTTTTCATTTTTAATGTAAACTATTCATTTTAGATCCTTAGATTGGCATAGTTCACTTGGTTTCCACCAGCATTGCTCGTGCTACATGAGTTTATACTGGAGGGAATGTGTTCCCTAATAAAATGTGGTTGGCATCTTCCATTACATCTTGTTACTTAGGCTTAAATTACCTGAAGCTTCTTAGTAGCTGGTGATTTCTAGGCTAATCTGGAGACATCTGAACTTGCGGAGCTTTCACAGGCTAGCACATTTCTGCTTAAATTCTCTTCATCAATGGCAAATGCCATTTCAGCGTTGTATATTTTCAGTGCGCAGCTATGGTTGTCAGACACTCTGATAAATGGCTTGCATACACTTACAACAGTCTGTAGATTTTGATGAGGACATCAGAGCTTTATGACCTTGAAGCTACATCTTCTCAGCTGTGAAATAAGAAGCATCTGAAGGAGTACCTGGTGGTTCTGAAGAAACTATAGGTGGTCTCTCTGTGAATGGTAAGACAGAAATGAGAAGGGAGAGTCCTCTGTTTTGAGGCTGGAGAGGCAAAATCTTTGTTTTGCAGAATCTGGGTAGCTCTGCAACAGACATCCCTCCAGAGTTTCCTCAGTGCATCTTAAGAAAAGTGATTCAAATTCTTTAATTTGTTAGTACTATCATCTTGGATCAAAATCCTGAATGAAAACATCTCTGAGTTTTGGAGAAGTTCAGGTCCTTGTTTATCACACCTACTTTCCAGCCAGATGTAGTTTCCATAACTGTTCAAATTCAGTGTCTTTTAATATTTGTCTTATAAAAGCGTCCACCTTGGTAGCAGGATACTGCCTTCCCATGTTGGTTGGTAGCTCAGTCTTCACTGCATTGTAGAGATAATGCAATGCTTTACAAATTTATCAAAATGATCAGCCTATAATGTCACTAAATGTATCTGTATTACTCAGTGTAATAAGGCTGTAGCATGACAAAGGAAATCTCACTGCGTTCTGCAGTATCAATTTTAAAAGACAGTATGAGTTCTTCTTTTTTCTAGCTGTTACAAATGGCTCAATTGTCCAAGTTTTTAATTTTATGCTCATGAACAGTGAATTGGTTTAATTTTCTATTTGGAAGGAAAGTCGTGGGGGGGTTTGCTTTGTTGCTTTTTCTCTTTCCCTTTTAAAAACATGCCTGAGAGTTTGTGGCACATTTTTGGCAGAGTGCACCGTGAATAATACTACCATGTGTCCAGGATTTTGACACAACTTTACCTCCTGGTTTGTGGCCATCTCCGAGACAAGGTTGCCCAAATTCCAGGGCAGTGCAATTTTCAGAGCAGGCATTATCAAGCTACAAGACTCTTTGCTTTGAATGAAGGGCACTCATTCCACTTACCTCTCAATGCCTCACTTCCCCGTGATCTCTCTGTAGTTAACATGGAGAGGATAAGCCTCTCAAAATCTCGCTTTGCCTGAAAGGAATGTTAACTTTTCTTGCAGTATTTTTTTTTTCTTCATCTCAAATGGTTCTTCATTTTTCACTTGTTTTGTGGTATATGGTGCCAAGTATACGATGTTGAAAGTCACTGGGAGTGAATCTCCACGCAGCAGCCAAAGCGTGAAGGAGGAGGACTAGGTGGCACTGGTGGAGCTAGAGACATGGATTTTGTTTCTAGTCCTGCTGACACTTTGCTCGGTGAGCTCAGGCAAGTCACTTCTCACTGGCATCTCGCTTCTCCGATCTGTAAAAATGGAGCGGACAGGGTTTCCATCACTACAAAACGTTTTGAGATGCAGAGATGGAATTCCTAGGTAAAAGCTTTTATTTGGGCATTTGTTTATGGCTGGAAAGACAGCACACTGTGATGTACCAGTGTGATTTCTCAAGGAGCGGAACGAAGGAAAGCACCAGGATCCTCTGCATGTGGGATCCCTGTGGGTGGTGGGAGGCTGCTGGAGGCACCGCTGGTGGTGTCTCCATGCTGCCTCTGCTGTGCCCTGACCTGGTGAGGAGGACTTGTGGGAAGGTGGACCTCCGCAGCACTCCTCTCAGGGAGTACAATTTCATCAGGGGCAGGGCTCAGCTGGCTGTTTCAAATCGCAATGGGGCAAGTACCTCATCAGAAGGTTGTAATACCAGTGCCAAGACTGACCAAAAAGGGGAGGGTAAATATTTTCCCTAAATGCTCCATTTTTACTAATCAATAGAAAACCAATTCTGTTTTGCTTCAAAGCTTTGCTGAATTTTGTGGGCTTTCTCCTAAGAGGAAAGGATGTCTCTGGGCAGGGTTTTGTTTAATTTTTTCCAAACTGAAAATTACTACAGGAATCAGGTCCTACTGTTTGTGAAGTAGTTTCACAGTGAAAATAGCCAGTCAGTACTGATTAATAGTATTGAGTCAGGTTCTTGCTTTTGCCTGCAGTAGAAACAATACTTATCATTGTGTCTCTAGGCTGAGCCCAGACTGAAAGACCTTTTTCAAATACTGGACTTGATCACGCCCTCTGAAATCAGTTGATGGGCCATTTGTGTAATTAGACCACAAGATAGCCGATGAAGAAACTGAGAAAGACGTGTGAAGGAGTTGGCTCACAGCTGAAGCAGCACCTGGTATCAGGACGTGGAGTAGGACAAAGCCGTGCTGTGATTGAGCCTTCTGCCTTCAAACAACGCCCTGCTTTCTCCAGGGCAAGTACAGTACACCCCAGGCGAGCTCTGAAGGATATCCAGTGGTTCCCAGATTTTAGTCACTTTTTTTCTGAAGGTGCCCTCAATGCCTATATTGACTTGAAGCTAAACTGCATTTAATGCCTTCTTGTTGGGAACGCCCGTTGTCAACAATGGGTCATTTTTACAGTCTAGACAATGCTGGTGTCATGATGAGAAACAAGCGCTTAGATGTGTGCGATGGTATATTGCATTGAGAAAAAGCACTTGAGTTAATTCCAGTAAATCTCTGATTCAAGGGATATTGCAGCAATGATTATTCCACATTTAAAAAAAATTATATGGGCTGCTCTGTTTTTGAAAACCTACACATTTTTTCCTCTATTAAATTGCTTCCTGGTGATGGAAATGTCTGAGATTTTTTTCTACTGCATCTACTTTCCTTTAGCTTGCACACCCCTGAGGTAATTAGTGTAGGTTAAAATTTACATAACTGACTTTGGGGTTTTGCAAATAGGAAAGATGGAAATTTATTCAAGGTGGTGAATAATTCATTTTAAAGCAAGTTTCCTGTTTTTTTTTAATCGTGTAGAAGATGTATTACAGACTCATAGAGATTTTCTGAATAGGCTCCTAAGCATTGAATTTTTGATATATTTTATTTCCTAGTGTAGGTAAAGAAATATTAACCATGACTCATTGCACTTTTCCTGTTCAATAAGATTTGAATAAACCTAACAAATTTATTAAGTAGATGATAGAGCTTTTTAAAAATTATCATGACACACTGTGACAAATATTTTACTAGGATCCAGAAGAAATAGTTTTAAATCATATTCCCATTGCCACTTCAGAGGCAGAGAGATGGAAAACAGTGCAGTTCATACAGAGAACCCCAATTCACATTTTCTTTTGAATATTCATTATTTAATTAAGATTAGGAAGATAAACAAGGGGATTGGATAGCTATGGGAGTCTGGTAATATAATCAATTTTAAAAAAAAATATTCTCTACTTCTGGCTCGACGTAAGCCTGGACTGGAAATGTCTGAATGTTGTAATATTATGGCTACTTGATATTTTAAATGAAGTGAGTTTTCTATTTCATGTTATTTCTTAATCTAAGTGCCTACCTCAGAAAAATAGCTATTCCAGGCATCACCAAGGGTTGGACCCAGGAGACAAATTATGAACCAAGCCCTCCTCCTGCCTTCTGAACTCTAGCTTTAACTACTTCAGCCCAACTTTAAAGCCCTTCCCATCTGCCACTAAACTCTAGAAATGCCCCATGTCTTTTGGTTGGTAGTTTTTATCATTAAACTTTCTCAGGGACTTTGATCTCTCTTGCTGGGCACCGTCCCAAATGCCCCAGCTGTGGCAGACTGACTCCTGAGTCTCAGGGGTGAATGTTGCTGCTTGGTCCTGGCTGCTGCTGGGATGGGTCCTCTACACCTGCAAGAGCATGTCCCTGTAGGGCAGCCGAGGAGGAACAACCTGCCCTTTCTCTTGGCGCATTCCCTGGTGGCTGCAGTCCCCACTGGACTGTGGGAAGTGACGTGGGGGGGGTCCAATCACCCTAACCAGACAGCTGCCAGCTCTGCTGGAGCAGAGCTGGGACCGGAGCCAGCTCCCAGCCCTTCCTGGGGAAGCGGCGTAGGTGGTGATTCACTGGGCTGGGGAAAGAAAATCAGTGCCAGCGTTTGTGGGAGCGGGAGAGAAAAATGAGCCCCAGTCCCTGCCCCAGGGAATCCTAGTGCGCTTCAGCCCAAAGCTGTCCAGGAGCAGGAAGGCTTGGTTCCCACTAACCGAAGAGCAGTGGTGGAAGGAGTGTTGCCCATGACACAGCTGCCACAGGGAGAGCTGGAAGGTCTCGCTTTGAGCTAGTTTGGTCATGTCACCTTTGTAATCATGTATGTGTGATGCTTGAGCAGGGCCTGGAGGATTTATTGCATCCATCTGAGGCTCTCTTCTGGGACTACCAACAAATCATACTGTACTTTAAGGCAAGCATGTTGTCTCTGCTTTAATTTTACAGGGTTTAAACAAGTTATGTTAAAAGCTACTCACACAGGCTTTTGTAATATGTTTTTGTAGTCTGTTTTTATACTCTGATAATTTTCACTTTGGAAATAAGCAGGATGCTTTGCAAATAATTTTCCTAATGCTTAGTCTTCAACAGAGATTCCTAAGCTTCCTTGAAAATGGCCAGATATTTGTGAAAAAGTTTAGAGATTTGGAAGAAAGGAGAGACTTCAACAGCCAGATATGGAGCCTCCGATGGGGAATTTTTCTCCATTGACTATTACATTGTTTCCCTACCAAAATGTTTTTTGGCTTTGAGGCTTGATGAAAGTGGAAGGGCAACATAATTTTACTCTGTTTAGATGACAGTATATGGTAGACAGTAGCAAGCCTCCTTGTATATTGGTAATGTTGCATGCACATTTTATGATGATCTCAGGGATGCCAGTAGGAAGCATGAGATTTGCCCTTGAACATTCAGCGAGATCTCTGAACGTGCAGGTCAGGGAGAAGAATTTTGTTTTCCTGAGTCTACAACCTGGGTTATTGTTTTCAGGTTTTGCACAGAGAACACAGTCCAAAAAGATGTGGATGCTGGCTTCTTGATGGACTGACTTTTTCAGCTTGCTGTGCAAGAGTAAAATAACTTGAGGCCCTCCAGCTTCGTGCTAGAAAGCTGCAGAACTGCAGGGGGAGAGGACTGCTCGTGCAAGTTAGCCTCCTATGCGTTGCTACATCCAAAAATGCCAGTCCCTCTTACCAAACATTTAAAAACAGCTGTGGTGATACAAGGCCTCAAGATCTGGAGTAGATTTAAAGTGAGGCACGTTGTGGGCTCTCTGGTAGTCTATGACTAACTGTTTTGCATGTTATGTTTTGTTGTGCGTGTACAAACACACTTATACGTGCATATACATATTTATGCATATATATGACTGTTAGGCGTAGTAAAAATAAGGACTGTAGGGCACTGCCATGCACAAGTATACATTGTAACAGTCAAGCTTTTAAAACGAGATTAGAGCTCAGTTTCCCTTGGAAATAATGGAGTAAACATATGGAAAAATATATGGAAAAAAAGTTATGGAAAAAATAATGGAATAGAGTAATGATGGCTGAAATTCTTAATTGCTTCTGAAAACCTTCAACCAGAAGACCTAAGGCAAACCTTTGAAAAATCGCACTTTTATAGCTTTTATTTCCATGTTCTTTCTGTACATTCAGAAAAATAATGTAGGGTTTTTTTTCTTTTTTTTTTTTTTTTTGTTTTTTTTTTTTTTTTTTTTTTTTTTTTTCTCTCACCATAAGAAACAAAAGTTGCGAGCCAGGATTCATGAACTCTTTCAAAGGTATGTCAGATAAGGGCTACTTTGTACTTCTATCCAATGTGCTTTCCTTCCAAAGGTCTTTCAGTGCTTTACAGATATTAATGAGTGGAACTTCTCCCAAACAAAGGACCTCAGGCCTAGAAAAATTAAGCCTGTGCTTTTGAAAGAGACCTCTGTTTTGGATACCTCCGTTTTCAGATACCCAGCTTGGGCTGTAATTTTTAAGTGCTACACACAGTGCACTTCAAAAGTTGACCAAATGGCTTCTCCCAGTGCCCTTCATCCCTGCCTCTGAATTACCCTTAGAGAGTGAAGGAAATATGAATTGGAGTAATGTTTTTGTGATCAAGCTATAGGCAACCTTCAGATAAATACATGCATCAAATTATCTGTAAAGAAATGAATGGAGGAAATAAATAACCCTCGTGGATACAGCCAAGGAAGCTATGTTCTGCTGTGACAGCTGATGAGCATGCTGGTGAGCATAAAAGAGGCCTAACTTAACTGAATAAATTATTCTCTTGAATCTAATACCCAGCAAAAGGAGGGAAAGGAGAAAACTGATGCAACCCGAAAAGAGATCAAATGCGGTTATTTAAATGTTTGATGTTCAGTAATGAAAACTGTTTACCTTCATAATTGTGTATTAGCAGCTAATAAAGGCAATAGATACAGTAGTTTAAAAGTAATAAAATCAACAACAAAGTGTATTTAATTTTAAATTGAATTGCAAGCAAATGGGTGTCCTAATGAACCCCTGTGTCAATGCAGCTCTAACCAAATTAAGTGAAATAATTTCCATCATGAGAAACTAAATAAGTACAAAGTTCCAAACAGACCATTCTTCTCGAGCAGAGAAGTTAAATTCTCAGATGTTTCAGCTCTACAAATTAGCTAGAGACGTTCAAGAAGCATCTTCTGTTACTTCCATTTAGGACAACTGGACCCAAGTTGACTTGACTGCAGCTCAAGGATAAAACCTCATAGGTGGTTGACCTTGTGCTTCTTGTATTCAGTCTTTAGCACTAAAATTTTGTCCTTAGTTCTCATCGGTCCTGGCTTGGGCAAAATTCCCAGGTATGTCTTGGGGACTAGCATCTACACAGACCTTCCAAGCAATTTAGCTATTGCCTGGGCATTTACATGATGCAATTCTACTGGTAGAGGAATCTGGAAAACAGCTTAGCTATGCACCAATGGTAATTTTACTGCTGTAAATGTCAATATATGGTTCTTAAAAAAAAACAACAACAACAACAAAAAGGCATAGTTCTGAGTAGAAACTGATTTGTAGCAATATGCCAGGAACTTGGAGACAGACTGGGATGTTTAGCATGATTTGCAGAGTCTCTGTAAATAGTTTTCTTGATAAAGAACCATGTTAATTGTACAACTGTGGAGGCTTCTCACATTATCACCTAGAATGCAGAGGAGGAAAAGGAATGAAGGCACTGGAATTGAATTTTCCAAAAGCAAGTCAGAAAATACTGAAGGAATGCTTCAGAAGTGCAGTCCAGGGAAATGTTTTGTGGTTTTTTTTCTTTTTTTTTTTTTGAATGAACACCAAATTTTAGCATTTTCTTTTGTGGCTAAAAAATTAACTGAATATGTGGCTTGGTAACCTAAGAGAGCCTGTCCTCTGACTGCCTGTGTGGTAGATGCCCAAGCTAATCCTGAATTGCAACTGTACCTGATGTAGTGATTTCTCCTTGGTCCATATGACTCCTCTCAGTACATTGTAGGCAGCTCCCTTGACCTCCAGGGTGGCAGGTGGCTGGCCCATGGCCACAAACAGCCTGCTCAGCCTCCAGCTCCTGAGAGCCGCTGTGTCTTTCTCTGTGCTCTGCTACCTGCCCCAGCTCCACCTGCAAGTGTGTCTGGAGCATCGCCAGCGCTGGTGTGGCTGACCAATCCTTCCCAGCCTTTTAAAGTGGGTTGTGGAAGCCAGAGCTGAAGTGTTTTGAAGCCAGCAGAGCGTCTACGGATGTTTTTACTTAGGACCATTTCTATTTAGATACTGGTGCTGAGTAGGGACAGAGGAATTGCTCACAGTTCTGTGTCTGTTGAAAGACAGGAGGGGATTGCTAAAGGATACAGCTTTATAGTGCTTATTGTAAATGAATTAGTTTTGTATTTGCTCCTGCTGTGCTCTAGGAACAAGGCTTTCTCCATAGGGTACCGTGCCTTTTGTGTATCCTGTGCACTGAGCAGGGCAGCACTGGGGTATCCAGTGTAGGGCTGTTAAGCTATTTGCTGGAGTTCTGCATTGCTACAGGGACCTCTCTTTAAAAGAAAAATATCTTTGAGCTGATATAATTACCCCCAAAATTACTTTAACTACACAAGAAGTTAACATATGAATGCCAAGAGAAGGTTTAATGGTTCACATACAGCTGAAAATTTCTCTGTGTGTGTATATATACATGTATATATGACTTATATAGTTTATATATATAGTTTTTGGTATATATAAAATAAGATCTTTTAGAAGATTTATAAATGATATAAGATTTATATATAAATTTATAAGATTTTTTTTTGGGGGAAAAAAAGGGTAAGATTTATATATATAATAAGACTTTTTCAGTGGTTTAAAGCAACCCAGTCCCCAGGGAACCAATGGTTTCCAAAAACCCATTCCAGTTTATTGAAGCTGTCAGTTGGTCCTGAAAGTGTGGACAGAGGCAATGGTTTCCTACTTTAATATTCTTAACCTAGAACCCGAGCCCCAACACTGAGCTGATTGTACATGGGCAGTGAAACTTTAGGTTCCTTATGTTGACCTGTGGCACAGACTGACAAATATTGGTCGTGTAACTGGGACTGTGACTGCATTTTTCGTGTGCCGCTTTTTGAAGCCTAGTCATTTCTCTGCTTAGCACCTTGTTTCTCCTGGGTGCCCTGCAAGGTTTATGATATATTCAAGGAAAACATTGAACTGTGATGTATTTCCAATGGTGAGTGCTTTCTGTATCTGCATTGTAGTTAATTTCTTTTCAGTTCTTCTTCCCTGTTCCCTTTCTAACTGCTGCAGAGTGGGACATCAGCCACTGAAAGCAGAGGAGAATGAATGTGAAGAAGAAATGGTAGCCAGCTTTGGTAACCTTGCAGATGTGAATACTGGCTTAAATGGAGCAGCAGGACCTTGTGGGAAGGTGAGGTTCTCCATGAGTGCTCTTTTCCCTGACGCGAACTGCTAAATGACTAGATCAATTGCATTGCATTATTATTTCTTCTTCTTTTCCTTTTCATAGTTTAAGAGGATAGAATTTAGCAGGTTTCAAAATACGCTTTCCAGCAGAAGTAACCATACGCTTAAAGAGAATGTCTAAAGCTATTAATGATGAATCATTTGGGCATGGCAAGAGTTCTTCAAAACAGTTTGTCAGTGCTGGCCAAGCAAAGTCTTTCAGCAGGAGACGAGACAGCTATGCCACCATGCAAATGAGACAGGCTTGAAATATGATGAATCTTCTATCTCCTTTTCCTACTCGACTGACACTCGCTTTGAGGAAGGTTGTAAATGCAAGAGAGATTGTGGTATAATTCCTCAGACTGGCGTTTCTGCCCCCCAGTCACTATTCGATTATCTTCCAAATTGCTGTGTTTCAGAGAGATAAAGATTTTTTATGGCTTGCTGACTTGAAACAACCAGAAGAGCCAGAAAAGAGATGGCTAACCGGCCATGCATAGTAATTCCATTGGTAAATGACAAAATCTTTGTTTGTATGACATTTCCAAAATTACTACAGAAGATGAATCTAAAATACAAAATGTCACATTTGGCATGCAAAACTATCACAATATATTTCAGTATAAAATTCATAGAGGCGTTTAATTTAGAATGTGTTTAATAACGAAGTCTGCCTGCATCAGTAATCCTGCCTTGAGGTTTAAAAAGATTGTCTTATTTATTCACATAATGTTAATTTTTTTATATATGATTCAGAAACCAAAAATATTAAGGTTAAATCTTCATTGTTAATTAAGATTTTCTAATTAAGCTGAAAATAATTGTCATTCAGATTAGTTGTTAAGTATGGTTTGTGTTGAGAAACAAAAGAAGTTTAACAAATTCAACTGTTTATTTAACTGCTTAATTTAATTCCAGAAGCTTTCTATCTATATGGAAATATGCTATCTCTTCCAAAATAAATCCAAGACAGGATTAAAGAAGAGATTATTAGCTACTGTAGGCTTAAACTGTGAGACTACTAAACCTAGTAGTCAAGGTAGCCATTTGATTCTGAAATGTGGCATGAGTTCTTGTATTGCATTGCATCAAAAGAAGACGACCTAGCACTAGTGTTTTCTCAAAATAATGGAAGAAATTGATTCCTTGGGGAAAAAAAAAATATCGCTGATTTGAAGCACTAAATAATTAGTCATGGCATAAGCAATTTTATCCATTGAAGTCAACACTGGAGCCAAACTGGGACTCCCTCTTATGTGCCTGACCCTGCAGATTGCATTTGGGCAGCACTGGAGTGTCCAATGGCATAGTGGGACGGACCCTACGCCTTTACTCAGGCAAGACTTGTAAGGATCGTACTGCTGTGTCTGTTCCCCTCTGCCAGCCTCTGCTCTATAAGCTGAGCGTACAAGGAAAGCACCAGAAAAGCATTTCTGATATGCAGCACAGCATTTATTCCATACTAAACATTCTGTAACTCAGACAACATCTTGTCAACAGCAAGCAGATGTTTCCTTTTGTCTGGACTTGGAATAAAGGTGCCTGTAGGGAGTTGTTATTAAATTCTACACGTGTTGCACTTTGATTACTATTTTTAAGAAAATCTGATTATATGATAATCAGAAGGTGAAAGGATAGTCTGCATATTACACAGCACTAATAGCTTTGGCAAGGCTAATAATTAGTATAAAAACATGGCCTGCCCTGTCTTTCACTCTGTGCCTGCAGCCTGCTCATCACATCACGTATTGTGCCTGTCTTGCAAAGCATGCTATATTTTTGAAGGTGTTGTTTTCCAGTTAATTCTGCCTTATTATTGCAGACTAATGGCTTCTGGTGTCATACTTCAACAGCTCCACCTTCCCCCCAAGGATGCCGAACATTTTATTAGTAGTATTTGTATTATTTTTTTATCTGTCATCTCTATGACTTTTGACCTCCCTAATTGCAGATCCTCGGTTAGCAATAGGTAATTGCAGGTTGAACAAGAAGCATGTTGTCTGCTTTTCGGTAGTTATTTTCTTGAAGAAATTTGTTCTTGCTAATTGTATGGTTAAAGTCGGCTCAACCCAGATCAGTAACTCAGAGCCTTCATCCTAGGTTGACTGCTCCAAGGCACCGCAGCTGATAGAAATTCACGTCAAATGCCTGAGGGGAGTCAAAGATAAGGTTCCTAAAGGCCACTACACCCTCAAAGTTTCTGTTCTCAGCCGCTTAGGTGGTGGCTTGCTGGAGTGGCCCAAACTGAAGGAGCAGCCTCGAGCCAGGACAACGCTGCCTGTTAGTCACGATGGAAACTTCTACAACACTGAAATCTACTTTGGACAAAGTATCCAGACAGTAAGCAACACTTCTTAAATATGCTGTCTTTGCTTTGAAAGTTAAAACACATCCGCTCTTTCTCCTTCAGGCTTATATATTTAATGCATTCCATCATGTTCATAATTTATTTAATAATTTAAGGTGCAATTTAGGAAGGTGCAATTTTTTTTCCCCTAGGTTAACCCTCATCACTCACTCTAAAAGTGCTAAATATACACTACATCATATAGTGTTGTCAGCTAATTTTAAATTTTACTTTTATTCTCTCTTATCTATGCAGCTTGTCAGCTCTGTAATTTGATTTCTGTAAAGTAGCTTTAGAATAATAAATGAACGAGTGGGTGTGTATAAACACATGAATGCCCAAATCCTTCTGTGAGTTTTTAGCTCCATTGACCCCCATTTGCCAAAAAAGCAGCATTTGGATTATTTTGGAAGGAGCCCAAACACTTGAGGCTCTATTCTGTCTTTTGCGACTGAGGCACACATATTTTCCTGCCTAAGCATGCTGTGCATGGCAGGATTGTTGTGTGTCAGTTGCTCACTGTTGTAGCTAATGCCTAGTGCTGGTTGAAACATTGGTCTCAGATAAACTCTCTGGCACATGAAAGCTTCTTTACAGTTTGAAAAACAACCCCCACCTCTCTCAGCGTGGGTTTTTTTGTGTGTTATGAGACATTGGTAGAACGAGGAGGAAAGTTTTTTCTGTTTTCAATTATTCATTTTGCAGTATGACCTGAATGGTAGATTTCCTTCTCCACCCCTTCTGTTGTGCAAAGTGTTGTGTAGATACAGGACAGACAGTCCCTATCCCAGAGAGCTTTCAGATAAAGCAACTTTTATGTATGGCACTGATGCTTTCAGTTACTTGCGGATAGGTCATTTCAGCTATTGGGTTTGTGATATACAAAGTGCTGCTAAGTCACATTTTCTGCTTTTTAATTGTTTATCATCTGTTATGGATAACAAACAGTGTCTGTAAATACAGCTGTTGGTATGAAAAGAATCACATCTATAGAGAGGGAAATTGTGAATGTGACTGTCACATGATGTTAAAACAAATACATGTATCTGTCAGAGAAATCACTGAGCTGGGATTCCTCCCTAGGCAGGACACATGCATCCTGCCTATTGCCTCGAAGACAAAGTACTGTCTTCTCAGGCTTCATTGAAAGGAGAAGACTACAGGCAGTACAACTGAACGACTCCAGCATGCCCTGCCTCTTGCTTTCAGCATCGTGTTTCTCCTGGGTCTTGCCTGCTGCTTTTGTTCCTACCTGGGGAATGTCCCCTGTTCAAAACTACATATCTCTGTTCTCAGTACTAAGCAAGAGCTAGTTCAGATTGACCCGTCTTTTGTCCAGCTGCTTCTCAACGCAAAGGAACTCCTGACATGGATTTGTGAAGAGTATGTGCAAAGTCCATGTACTTGTCTTTCTGTTAGTCTTTACTGGGTTGTGCGGACACCTCAGTAACTGCTTAGAGGTGGCTACTATGCTTCATCCGAAGGTCTGAGAGAAATGCTTGGTAGTTTTACCATTTTTCTAGAGTTTGCTTTAAAGTCCTCTTTGAGTCTCACAGAGGACATTTAATTAGCATCTTCACCAAACTTCATTTTTAGCCTAGTGAACCAGGGTGCAGGTCTTGGGCAAGTCCACTGAAAATGCAGGACCAGGAGGAGATGTTGGATTAAATCACCTTCTGATGATTCCCTGTCTTCATTACTGTATAATGGTCAGCAAAATCTTAATTTCATCATTTTAGAGAACCTCCTCCACCAGCTCATTTTGAAGACATAGGTGTTGTAACCTGAACAATTCTGCCTTTCTGTTCTTCCACCTTGGTATTGGCCCATAACCTTAAGGTATGTTTCAAAAGAAACCCTTAGGATCTGTGTTGAGATGAGGCAAATTTTAGGCTTCAGATGGTTAGCATCTACTGCAAAACTTAGTGTAAGAAGTAGGTCTTAGTGGTGAGCTCCAGATGAGCATCTGGGTTTGAACACAATCTTATATACAGCGCTACTGCCCTGAGATATATTACGGGGGGGAAAATACAAGTGCTCACAAATGAAGAATAAGCTTTTGTTTTCATTGGCCAGAATAATGATAGGAGTTCAGTGTAAACATGGTGAAAATGAAGACATGCATGCTTGATATTGAAGGAAAGCTGAGTTTTAACTAATATGTTAGAGAAATTATTCCAGAACACTACATCCTTCCAAAAATAATAACCCTGTCATGTCGGCAAAGTTAGTGTCAGCATGGGTTACCTGCTGCATACAGAAAGTGCTGGTCATGTAAGTTAGATCTGCCTCAGGGCTAGTCTGACTTGCGCACCCAACCTTTCAAAAATGTTTTTTGTTCATTAATCAATGTTCTTTGCTCCAGCTTGCCAGCTTCCCTTCTTACCCCTCCTTCACTGTCTTCCTTTTTAGTTTGTCAACCCACCTCCCCCAGTAACCTCTGACTGCGTATTAGACAGTGGCTCCTAATAGCTCCTGTTGAATTTTATTTGGCTTTCAGTAAGGCCAGACATTCACACGAGTAATTTTTTTCCTTAAATTATGCTGGACAAAACACGTATGAATGCTTTGGATTGGGATAAAATGCAATTGCTGTTTCAAATGACTCTACAATTTTAGGAATCGCAACTAACAGCATGATCTGAAGGGGACTTGTTTTAGACCCAGCATTTCAAGGACGTTTTCATATATTTAGTTTATGCAAGGGAACTTTAGACTTAGACGGGTTAATGCTGTCTGGTTTAGGTGAAGCAAGAGCTATTTTGAGGCTTCACCTACATTATAACACGTACTGAACCTGAACTCAAGCTGAGATTCAAAAAATGCAGTAGGTTAACTCTGGTGGTAAAGAAGCTTTGTTCTTAAACATTCAATATACTCTTGCACTGCCTGATTTTTGTCAGGTCTGGAATGAAAGTTGAGAAAGGAGATGAGATGATTACTGTGCATCTAATAAGGCAGTTACTACAATTAGACTGTCCTTGGCAGCGCCTGCGCAGATGTGACTGCATCATCTTTACACTAGACCAAGGATTTTACTAGTATAATTTCCTTATTGCTGTCTTATGGTGGCTAAGATTCTACTATAGATAAGAATCATAGAATCATTAAGGTTGGAAAAGACGTCTAAGATCATCGAGTCCAACCGTCGACCCAACACCATCATGCCCACTAAACCATGTCCCTAAGCACTGCATCTACACGTCTTTTAAATACTTCCAGGGATGGGGACTCAACCACTTCCCTG